CCCCAAAACCCCAAAACCCCAAAACCCCATATGAAATCAGAAAATTGAGATATAATTTTATTTAAAATGTCGCACAAAAGCATTACACAATTTGACCAGCAAAACAAAGTTCCAAATCCGAAATGTTGAAAATGTGAAGAATTGTAAGAACAGTTTTGGCTATTCTCCTATCAAACAAATTTGGTTTTATCATTAATGCCTAATCTTAATTGCAAATAATTTCTGAAAGCTCTAATGCTGTTATAGTGAAATGATCAAGAAAGAGGTAAATTACATATAAAACATTAGTACCAAGAATCATGTCTTAATTGGGAAGAAGATTGCGAATATTATAAAGTATATTCATTTAATAATTTTAGGAAATCATCCAAGACCTGAAAGAATCTATCAATTTACTGCTTAACGAGTACCTCAAACCCAAAGAAGTAAGCTCGGGTGTATATTTCTAGACAAAAATTTCATTTACTAAGTTCTACAACAAAATAACAGATCTCAGAAAGGAAAAGTGTTCCCTAAAATAAGGCATACCTAATTGAGAAGCATAAATTTTACAGTCTGAGTAAAGCCATAGATTCTCTTTCAAAATCGTTAGAACATTACAAGAAAGACTGAAACAAATCAGAGAAAGGAATGCTATTTAAATCAAATACGCAATTGAAGCAAACAATTAATGACCTTACTGAAGAAATTGAATCTCTCAGCTTAGAAAATCAACAACTAATTGAGGATCTGGAGGCTAGAGATTTTTATGCTCAATATAATAAAGTAAAGGAAGAATTAGATAGACTAAAACAAGAACAAGAGATTCTTATAGATATTAGGTTTGAAGACTGCCAAACTGTTAAGAAGGTAAATATACCAACCCTTTCAGTTCCTTTAATCAAGGAGCCCATAACAGACATAAGTGCAGTTGATGGCAAGAATGATGTCTTGCTTGATGATGTGAATACAATTAAAATGCCTTTATCCTCAAGAAAACCAAACATTGAAGGAAGTAAGATTAATGTTAACCTTAGATTTTCTATCAAAAGATAAAGCTATACCTCTAACTAAAATTGATATAATGGAGACAAGAGGTCTTTACACAATATACCCTAATAGATCACAAGCATCCTCTTCTTGTGGAAGAAAGAAGAAAAGTGTTAAAATTACTCAGAAATAACATTCAAGATGATACAGAAGAGATTATTAGAGAGTCTTTACTTGATATACAGTTTAACCTAGATAAAGAAAGTCAAGATCCAGCTCTGGTAAATTCTAAAACAATGGCTCATCAATACCGAAATGCCTACTCGCCAAGTTTAAAAATAAAAGAGCTGAATGATTCATACGGTGCTTTGACAAAACCCAGTGTTAGGAAAAACTTTATGAAAGCTAATCTTGGAAACAAACCTAAGACTCAGGTAGATATTTTTTAATTTACTGAAATTAGATCATTTCCCAAACTTTTGTTATTTGGTAACTCACAGATATTTAACACATTTGGCTTCATTAGCAATAAATTAAAGAAAAATGTGATCTAAAATGGGTGTAACAATAAGAAAATGTGCAAAGTATTAAATCTCTTGCTTCCAATTAATCAAAAATTGATTTTAGCCCATTTTTACTCATAACTTAGTGCCGAAATTTGCTATTCTTGCTAAGAAACTTGAAGATTGTCTTGCACCAAATCCTATTTTTTAATTTAACAACTCTAGTTACTCAAGAAGTTATTTCTTTAACATTAATTTTTAACTGAAATATAGACCAAGAAGAATTTGAAAAAGATGAAGAGGAGTGTTGAAGTTCCAGCCCAAAGATTTAAGAGTCACACCTATAATAATTTTGAGGAAGACAAAGAACAGGATTCCTCTCAAAATAAGATATCTTACACTAAAAATTCGACATCTAAAGACTCATCTAGAAAACTATCTAAAATAAAAGAGAGGAGAAAAGACTCTTATAGAGCTTATGCCAAAGCTTTTAAAAGTAACTATATCCAATTCTTAATCTTTTCTTAGATAAGAGGGCAGTTAAGGGAGCGAAGAATACCAATAAGCATAAGAAAGCTACTAACTGGAGCCCAAGAAAAGGGAACTACAAACCCACCCATAACAGAAACAAATCCAATAAAGAAGTTCTCAGTTCATTGTCTGATTTGGAATATGATCAAGTTGTAATAGAGGAAGGTAATTGATTTTTATATTTCTAGACTATACTCTAAGACATAAAAAGTAATATAATGCTAAATCTGACCTCTTCATCCCAAATTCTGAACCATATTGCTCGTTAAATTTCAACTATAATCATACATAATGGGGTTTTGGGGTTTTGGGGTTTTGGGGTTTTGGGG